CCCTTTAGAGGCCCACACCTCTGAATCTCATATGCTTCCATCCACTTCCCTGGCTCCTTTAGAGAACTACACCTCTGAATCCCTTTTGGAGCCCTCCATCTCTGAGATACCTATAGGATACTCTGAGATCCCTTTAGAAACCCTTATCTCTGAGACCCTGTTGGAAACTCACATCTTTAAGGTCCCAGAGAAACACCTTTCTTCTCCTACCTCATCACAAGATTATGTCCCTGTATCCTCCCCTGATACTCTGAAGGAAGACCTCTCTAAGTATTCTCCCAGTGAGGTCTCATGGTCAAGGAGGTCCATCCAGATCTCTGAGTCTGAGATCCTTCAAAAGCACTCCCTTTCAAGCCCTTCAGCCCCAGTCCACCTGGACACATCTGCAAAGGAAAAGGAAGAGGAAGGAGAAGACAAAGAGCGGGTGGATGCCACGGACAGCACCGCAGCCATGGCGCAGCCTGGACAACAGTGGAGCAAGACGAAGGAGAAAGGAGTTAGCCGTAATTGTGCCTGTGCTTTTCCCCGTTCCCATCACTGTCTTACACCTGCCCCAGGAGGAGGGGATTGGGTTACTCTTTAACCTGGCCTCTTCTCTTAGTTTTAGGGCCTCCTCCTCACTTCCCCTTGGTTACTCAGCTTTTCCCTTCCCAGATTACACAGTCCACCCAGTGGTCCCTGCCAAGCGAGCAGAGCTGGTGGAAGTGGCTAAGACAATGCCCAGAGAGAAGTTTGGTGCTCAGGTGAATTATCTTTTCCAATGGGAGAAGAATGCAGCCCTAAGTACCATCCAGACAGGTGAGCCCAGAAAGCCCTTCAGAAGCCTGTGACAGGCCGGTGGCCATCCTCCAATCTGACGGGATCGGGGATCCTGACCTGATCAATGGATCACTGCCCCTTGTGGAAATGGCAATGCTAACTGCCTGTAATCTAGGAGGGGAGAAACCAGGTGGGCCAAAGTGGACAGCATGAGTACAGAAAAAAGTGGGGATATTCATATAAAGCCCAGGTAGGGACAGGCAGCTAAACTAAAGTTGTTAAAAGGAAAAAAAAAAAAAAGAAGGGTCATAGGCCAGCCCCACATCTAGGGCTCTGAGAGCCTGCACCAAACCGACCTTAAGGCAGAGATGGCCCAGGACCCTAGACAGTCCAGGAGACTTGTGGCTCTGACATGGCAAAAGGCCCTGGTCCCCTTGGTGGAACGCCACTAAAAGGCTGTCACCCTGCATGCCAGACCATTATCACGTGGGTACCCAAAAGCTATGGTCTCTTCGCCAAAGAGAAGCGTCATATCTTCAAGCCCTACTGATTCCAAGTCTCAGCCCAGAATTAGTACCCTTGCCGGCCCCATTAGTGGCACGCTATGCTTATCTGGGCCTGCATATAAAAGGTGTGCAGATGTACTATGTAAACCCGTGCCGTCCGGTGCGAGCATGTGTACCTGTGTTGCTGAACTTCGTGTCTATAGCGAATACCTTCAGAAAGCAGGCCACCCTGACCTGCTCTGCAGATTCTGGGGGCTTCTAAACTGAATTCAATAGACATCAGTGCATTTACTTTTGTCTTTTATACTTCCTTTTCCCCTTATGATAGGAAGAGAGTTATGTTGAAACTAGATGGGCCTAAGATATAAAGACAACCAGGCAATCCTATGTCCTCCCTTCTCCATGCAATTTACTTTCCTCATCCTCATGCTGGGACCCTTCCCCTCCACCCCTGGCCAAGAAAGTCATAATGATCTCATTTGTTTCTCAGTCTCAATTCAGGCATTTAAATGGCTTTGTTTGCTTATTTTAACATCTTCTGTCACTCTTATTCTTCCTGCAAATACAGGGTCATTCAGTCCCTGATCTCCTTCTCAGAACCTCCTGCCTGCTCCCCACTCTTCAAGGCTGCTATACTTCTTCACATGGAACTTGTTCATTTTCCTGTTTAAACGGGCAGTTTTATGTAGTAATTTAAGTGTCATTCAATCCTGAAAAAGGTATTTAGGGTTCCCTAATATTGGGGATCTTGGGTCCCCAGAATCAGAATGTGTGCTGTGTAGAGAAGGATCAAGTGTAAGCTTTTCTTTTATTTATTCAGCATTTACTGAGCATCAACTGTGTGCCAGTCATTGAGCCAGATGTGGAGGCAGTGGCTGGTGGGATGTCAAAAACAAAATCTCTCAAGTAATTTGTACTCTAATGAGAGACACCAATAAGTAAAAGGATAATTATAATTCATTCTAATTGCTATGATTGAGGTCAGCCCACAGTGCTGCACGAGCAGAAAAAAAGGGCACCCAATCTTGGGGGCTCAGGGAATAAGCCTAGGAAGGGATGACTCCTCAGCTGAAATCTATAAGATGAGTAAAAAGAGGGGCACCTGTGTGGCTCAGTCAGTTAAGTGTCTGCCTTCAGCTCAGGTCATGATCCCAGGGTCCTGGGATCAAGCCCCACATCGG